CTCGTCATGATAGAAGATATAGAGGTGGAGGTACTCAAAGTTTAAATGTTAAGACAATGGACCGAGATGTAGTTATTCAAGCACATCTATATATATTGAATAATATTGATGAAGTTCAACCGTACTTGTCTGCTCACAAAAGTCTTATCAAGAAAAAATCACCCGGATAAGTGAAAAAATGATGTTGGCAGAGCATAACAAAACTTTCATGACTTGGTTTAATGAAAGGGTTTCTAAACAGAGTAGTGCATCATAGACAATTTGATGGATGCCATATATGCCTAAGTTTAATGTAATAATTTAGAGTGCATACGAAATTAATAAATTTTAATTATATACCAAATCAAAGGATGATCATAGTACTATGCCAAATAGCGGGCTTATGGTTGAAGGTGAATCCATGTACTTCTCAAGTTCCAAAGATAACAATCATGTACTAGCATCTAGAGTATACTTTGGGGTCAATGAGGAAATTTTGGAGATTGATTATGTTACTTTTAAAGTGTCTTTATTTAAGTGCAAGGGAATTGATAGTAACATTGGCGTAGAAACCGATGAATTAGGAATCACACGGGTTGATTTTCAAAAGACAACTTATATGAACAAACCGCATGGCATCCAAAGCAAAACATTTTTTTATGTCATTGATCCTGCTAACACTAGATGGTCAATTGTTTTACAAGGAAAACATATTCCTTATAGTGATGAAAATCAATATTTAAATTTTGAGTCACCTTCTTTCGCAACACATATACATCTCTTATCTGAAGAAAATGATTCAAATGATGTGCATCTTATTCGTCATAATCATCAAGAGGGGATATGAGAAAACTAGTAAGTGAATATTTTATATCACTTAGTAATATATATTTATTCATTTTACTTTGTATTTTTTTACTAATATTTTTTCCAACATGTAGAGATGTCGAAGGATACCTAATATTGCTTGATTTTAGAAGTAAAAGTCAAAAAATTAATAACCCCTAAAGTAAGTGGTATATGATTCTTGTTGTTGATATCGAAGTTTGAATGTTATTGTTGTCATTGTTGAGATTGAATTTGGAATGTTGTTGTGGTTGAGATCAATGGTTTAAAGATTTAATATTGTTGTTGATTATCCTAATTAATTTCAAATGTTATTCAAATTATAGGTGATTAACAACCTGTTACAAATCACATCAAAGAACTTTTGGACGACCGTCAAGAATTTGCATTTTGGTTTTTGTGTTTGTTGGTAATCATTTATTTTAGTTTTGTTGTAAAATTATAAGATGTGTGCCATTTTATTTTTGTAATTTGTGTAAAAAGTGAATATTTTTGGTACAATATTTATGTTTGAGAAATTTGAAAAAGGTACAATGTTTATGTTTCATAAATGGGGAAAAAATGTTATATAATATAGCTTAAAAAGAAAATATAAAAAAATTAAATTATAATGTTTTTCCCTCCGCTATTATTATAAACCGAGATAATAATACTGCTCTATTACCTCAGTTTTTCTTAAAACCGAGATAACGTGTGGGATGCGTTATCCAGTTCTAAAAATAATAGAAATGCGATTATTGGAGATCGAACTCATGATCAATAAATCTTTTCCTCGGTGGAATCTTTCCTGATGCATAAAATGGTGCATATTTCATGACACCCTTCATTATCTCGCATATGAAACTGAGGCTAACCTCATTTTTATATGAGGTAAAGAGATTTTTCATATGAGAGAGAGAAATCCACTTTAAAAGAGAGAAAAAGTGAGAGAAATCAATTTTCTGTTATTTTGCATATAGTCTCAATAAAACAAAGATTCCAGAGTTGTTAACTGTTAGACAGTTTTTTCAGTTTTTTTGTGTTTTATTTATAAGTTAGTTAATCTTTTAGTTTTTATGTTATTAGCACTAGCTTGTGCACCACATTGAGATTCATTTATACCCTTATTTAATTATAGCAGAACTATTTCTTTGGTGTGGACAATCCACATTTTTCACTTTCACATAGATGGTTTTCTATATTAAAATATTGATGTTCTCCTATGAATTACCAAATCAAATCAAACCATGGATACTTTTGGATCACATCAGGAGAAATATTTCACAATATATTATAAAAGATAACAAAAAATTATGAAATAAAACTATTGTTACTTTCGGATTAGATATTATAACATATTTTATAATAGATTACAAATCTAACAGAAAATTATTAAATAAAAATAAATTACAAGAATGTAGTCATGAACAATTGAAATTGAGAGTTAGATATAAAATTTGAAAAACACACCACCAACCATATCACTGGTTAGATCAATTTCGTCCAAAAGAATTAAACAGTGAACTTGTGAGTATAAAACTTTGTTATGGGAGAATGTGAATTTGTGAGAAGGTGAGAACTTTAGAGAAAAGAATTGTTACTGTGTGTACATATGTAAACCTTACAGTTTTTTTTTAATGAAAAATACTCATTAAATATTTTTCTTCAAAATTAGTTAAACACCTTTTGAAATACACAAAAATTTAAAAAACAAAAAAATTATTTAGATAAAAAAAAATTAAATTAAATAATTTTTGCCGTGATCATTAAATAAAAGTTGATCAAATAAATAAATTTATTAGATTAAGTATTCTAAAAATATTTAATTTTAAATTTAAATATTTATTAATATCACAATCTTAATTATTTTTAGAATTATAGACACAAATAATTGTGATCCGTTAATATTGTAAATAATTTGATTTAGATATTAAAGTAAATTTTTATAGGAATAATAATAAATTATCTCTAATTTTTATTTTAAATATTATTTAAATAATTTAATATATTTTTTATTAGAAAAGTAAGTTAAATTTTGCTGAAAAATAAACAAAAGTGATGATAAGTGTTTAATTCGTATATTGACCCACCAACTAAAAAATATATTTTTTCTCATCAAATTACACTAAATTTCAACCTCTTATCATTTTTATAATATTATTTTCAACTAGTTATCATTTCATCATCTTTTTTCACTACAATTGAAATTTAGTATATTATTTTTAAATAAAATATACTCATATTCAAGATATAGTCGCTTTTATTTAAGTTTTGGTTTGATATATCTTTAAAATATTCAAAACAAATTTGTAAAAAAATACTCTCAAAAATAAGATTTTTTAAAATATTTTCAATAAAGAGTTTTTTTAAATAAGTAATTTTTCCAATGATAATGAAGTTGTTGGAAAAATAATAATTTGTACATTGACTTAAATTAATCTTTGACATATATTTATAAACAATTATATTACTTTACGAAAATAATTGTTCTTTGGAAAATCATTTTCAATAATAATAATAAAATATTTAAGAGGGAGAAAAAGTTATTTACAGCGATTAGTTGTTAATATATATATATATATATATATATATATATATATATATATATATATATATATATATATATATATATATATATATATATATATATATATATATATATATATATATATAGTAAAAAGTTAAACTATTTTTTGCGATAAGTCATTTTTTTAATATAATATAATTGTAAAAAAAAATTATTCCACCTAATATTAGTTTATGTATAACAAATTATATATAACATTAATATGTATACATAATATTTGGATAATCATATATTTTGTTATAGGTAAGCATTTTGAGGGGTGTCGAATTTTACTTTAGTATTAGTAATGTAAATGTGAGATTGCACAAATGTCTTGTGTGTGTAAGAAAATAAAAGAAAGACAGTTATGAAATTATAAAATAATATATGAAGAGAAATAAGCGAGCTCCTCTCTAATTTTAATGAGGCATTTGTTAAAATCTGCACCTTGTTTAAAAAATAATAGTACGTTCAATTTTTATGTGCTTTTTTAAAAGTCATATTATATGTGCCAGAGATTAAATATCATATTTAATACATGAAAAGTTAGAGAGAACAAATTATATATATATATATATATATATATATATATATATATATATATATATATATATATATATATATATATATATATATATATATATATATATATATATATATATATATATATATATATATATATATATATCAATCATTGGTGTGATGCATGTAATTGATCAAAGGTTATTGATGTGTATAACTTCAATTTCGTATTTAATACACAAGAATGAAGAAAAATTAATTATGTATGATTTATTTAATATTTAAAATTATTATCAAAAAATAATAATATCTTGAAATCGGACCTAACTACGAGCATGCTAAATCAGCTTTACCGTATTATCAAATGCTGCTACGTTTAATAAGAGTATAAGTAAGAGAAAAATTAACAAATTAAGAGCTATAAACACAAAAACTATTTTAAATAACTTTTGTAAAAAAAACAATAAATTAATATAAAAAATTATAAGCTAAAAGTTACACAATCCTTACCAAACTAAATTTTTTATTGAACTTTTTATTAAAGTTTTTTTTTTCCTTACAAAAGATACTCTGAAAGTAATACTGTATAATGTAATAGAGTAGCTACAGCATTGATCTGTCATAATCATTGAATTAGTACATTGGTGATAACGATGACCTCTCATTTAATATAACTTCATCGGTAAACCACAGTTACATCGAAAGTAGAAAAGTGCAGTAAATGCTTGAATGTTATTTTGTTGATGATAATATATAACTTTTCACTTCTAGCTGTATACTAGTATGAATGAACATCATTGACACTGTTGCAAGCAGTGCAAAACAGTAAAAATAAATAAATAAATAAACTTATAAATTACAAAGAAGCATACATAAGTATACATTAGATTACAAATATTTGCCAAATTTTCACACTAGTTGCTTCAAACTCTGATATCGAATGTTTTGCTAGATGAGCATGAGGAAAACATTAGCTACTTTATATATGTTATCACAACAGTAACACGTGATAAAACAACAAGAATAACCATAACTATATAGTATACATTTTTAGCACTATTGCCTTATTTAGTATAACATATAACATAAATAGAAGAACAAGTTGTTCCTAATAATAATCTCCAGGAGCAGGCTTAGGAGGTGGAGATTTTGGTATGAATGGCATAAGAGGAGTTCCATGTTCAATTGGTTCTGGTTTAACATCCTTTTGATCTCCACCCGATATTGGATCAACTGGATTGTAATCTTCAAGACTTACGCGATAGCCGGTACAGCTTTTGACATTTTCCTGAAAATTCAAAAGAAATTGAACAATTTAAAACACTCCAGAGGTGAGGATGATGAAAATCATTCCTACCTTCAGTTTCCTGATAACTGCACCTGGTGTTGTTTCATCAGCACATTTTGTACCAACCAAATCTGAGTTGACAAAAAAAATAGACTACTGTTAAAATATACATAAATTTACGCTGCAGCAACCGCAATATGAGCAACTGCAATGACTACAATCGCACCATCTGCAACTGCAATTTAAAACCGTGACTACGACTTCAACAAGGTTTTTATGAAATTACACTGTGACCACAATTTCTTTAAAATCAAGGTTAGCAAAGCAATTGCATGCTCAAACAGCTTAAAAATCTAAAACAGAAAATGATCTGGAAATTTCATCACCATGCATGCACCCTAGTCTTCTCAAAGATTGCATGAAAAGAAAAATTATCAACCTGGAAACCAAGAAGGATTTGTGATGGTACCTGAAAAGCTAAAGAAGGTAAAAACAATGACAACCATCAAGAACACAGCACAAAAGCCAGAAACCTTCATGGTATCCATTATCCTCAAAATGATCCAACAAAATGAAATATAAATATACAAAAAAAACTTACCCTTTTTACCAAACAAGAATCCTGTTTATTTATGGGTTTATGAGTTTATTTTATGTACTGTATTTACCAACTTTTTTGTTAAGTTGTTTTTATCTGTCAGTAGTAATAACGTGCTTTGGGGTGCACATTCCAAAAAATTATGAAATAAAACTATTATTACTTTTGGATTAGATATTATAACATATTTTATAATAGATTACAAATCTAACAAAAAATTATTAAATAAAAATAAATTACAAGAATGTAGTAATGAACAATTGAAATTGAGAGTTAGATATAAAATTTAGTATAAACAGTGAACTTCTCACTGAGTGTATGAAACTTTGTTATGGGAGAACTTGAATTTGTGAGTAGGAGAGAACGGTAAAGAAAAGAATGGTTACTGTGTGTACAAATGTAATGAAAAATACTTGTTAAATATTTTTCTTCAAAATTAGTTAAACACATTTTGAAATACACAAAAATTAAATAAAAAAAGTTATATTAGATAAAAAAAATAAAATTAAATAATTTTTGCCGTGATCATTAAATAAAAGTTGATCAAATAAATAAATTTATTAGATTAAGTATTCTAAAAATGTTTTAATTTTAAATTTAAATATTTATTTAATATCACAATCTTAATTATTTTTAGAATTATAGACACAAATAATTGTGATCGGTTAATATTGTAAATAATTTGATTTAGATATTAAAGTAAATTTTTATAGGAATAATAATAAATTATCTCTAATTTTTATTTTAAATATTATTTAAATAATTTAATATATTTTTTTTAGAAAAGTAAGTTAAATTTTGCTGAAAAATAAATAAAAGTGATGATAAGTGTTTAATTCGTATATTGACCCACCAACTAAAAAATATTTTTTCTCTCATCAAATTATATTAAATTTCAACCTCTTATAACTTTTATAATATTATTTTCAACTAGTTATCATTTCATCAACTTTTTTCACTTCGAAATTTAGTATATTATTTTTAAATAAAATATATCCATATTAAGATATAGTCGTTCTTATTTAAGTTTTGGTTTGATATATCTTTTAAAATATTCAAAACAAATTTGTAAAAAAATGCTCTTAAAAATAAGATTTTTTAAAATATTTTCAATAAAGAGTTTTTTTAAATAAGTAATTTTTCCAATGATAATGAAGTTGTTGGAAAAATAATGTTCTGAACTGAGCCGACGCTTAGCCCACTGCCTAGTAGGTCCAAAGCCCACTGCGGTTGGACCTGTCTGAACCACGCTGACGGGTAGAAGACCTGTCGGGCACAACCTTCCTCCCCGTCGGGCAAGGCCCCCACATCCGGCTGTTGCGGTGAAATTTGGATACCAAACTATTGATTAGTTTGAATCTTTAATTCAATTTGCAACCGAACTTTGATTTGTTCAAAGGAAGGGATAAAGATCGAAATTCCCACAATGCAATGCAAATGCAAGGTTTAGAGAGTTATAGATTCGGAGGTTGGTTAAACTTAGGGAAGGTACTAGCATCCTAAGTTTCTGTAGTATCCTACAGGAACCTCTTGTTTTATATTTGTTTATTGCTAAGTTTATCTGCTTAATGGTTGAAAGACCTAGGGGTTTATTTCTAAGTATACTCGATAAGATATCGCATCTTATGCCTACATATCCTTACGGGAGTGGAATCAGAGTATTTGTAGTTCCCCTAAAGGGTTTGAGGAGTTTTTTGACTGTGGTCAAAGTTCCTACGGGTTTAGGATAGTTGATTGATTGATTTTAGGAGAAGAGATGAGTCTTCATTTTAAGGGAGATATAACCGCCACAAGGTGTAGGAAAATAGTCTTTGCATCGTCTTAAGAAAAGGGCTTAAGTACTCGGATTGTTTGGCGAGTATGCCTTTATTTCTCTTAAGGCAAAGTCCCTACGGCTTGATTGTATTGTTGTGTGGTGGAGGTTCTATCTCACCTAAGATGATTAACATCTTTCTCTAATGTGTTTGAATAAAGTGTTGTTTTGAGTTAATTGTATTGAATTGATTGTTTGGATTGTTGTGTTGTTTGTTTTCCTATGTTGTAAAGATAGAAGACACGGTCCTTCCTATGGGGTAGGTTCTATCTTAAGATCGACTTGAGTGGGATCAAGGATCAAGCGGGAGTATGATGCAAATGATGTGCACTACACACGATTGTTGAATCATGTGTAGGGTTTTCCTTTGGACGGAATGCGATGCGTGAATATAAATGCGATAATGTAACTGCGGAAATATAAAGGGGCAAATAAGTAAACATACACATACGCATGACAGCGCTGAAGTGTGTGAGAGTGAATGTGTCGTGAATGTGGATGTGCACGATTGATTACACTATGATGTTGAGATTGATTTTTAATCGAATTGATTTTATAAGAAAAAAAGTGGGATTTGATTTAAAGAGAAAATGGTTTGATCTATTAGTTTTAGATAAAAGTGTGAATAAGATTTTAAAATAATTAGTGAAATAAAAGATTAACTAAGTTTAAATAGAAATATTTCTAAGTTACTAAATCGGTTATGAATTAATTCAGATAGGAATGATTTCAAATAATGAGCTGATAAATAATTTGTTAATTATGACTTAAAAAAAGTTCTTACTAATTATTAAATGGATCTCGAGTTATCATCAAAAGGTTTTATATAAAAAGATTGTTTCTTGTTAATTATTTTATTAATTTAGATATAAAAGGATAAATAAATTGATACATTATTTATAAAATGAGGATTTATTAGTTTATAAAAGTAAAAAGGGATGATTAAAGAAAAATAGTATTGGTCTAATTTTATAAAAGATTGGTGTTTAATTAGTTAACTTAAAAAAATATTATTAATTTAAAACGAAATAAGGCTTAAATAGGGTTAATTAAGACTTAATTGGGTTAATTAGAGGTTTAGTGAGTTAATTAGGGCTGCGAGAGATCACGTGTGGCGAGGGAGTGAAGGTGCACCCTATGAGGTGCGTTTGTGGCCGTGTGATGATAATATGTGTGGTGATCGTGTGGGAGTACACCGTAGTTACGGTGTGTGCGTGCGCGTGGGATCATAATACAACAGAGACAACCAAAAAACAAATCAGAAACCCTGGTCCTAAAGCGACCCCTTTCTCCGCCGCTCTCTCTCTCTCTCTCTCTCTCTCTCTCTCTCTCTCTCTCTCTCTCTCTCTCTCTCTCTCTCTCTCTCTTCGCTCTCTCCTCATCGCGAGTGTCTTCATCTTTCCCCCTCCTTCAACATCTCATCGCAATTTTCCCTGCATTTCACAAATCAGACAACAGATTAAATGTTAGTAAAGAGGTCTCACAACTTAAGGTCGTGGTTGCTTCTTTTTGTTCGCGGGTTCGAGGGTGGCGATGGGCTTGCGGCGACGGAAGCTCGACGATGGTGATCGATTTGTAAGCGGAAAACGGGTTCACAGCGGGATCTCAGAAAGGATAAGTTCCTCCTCTCTTCGGTTTAGGTTTTTGTTGAGTTTAGGGATAAGTTTTCTGTCAAAACTTCGATTACGAAATTAGGGTTTGAAAATGGGGATTTTGGGGTTGTTTGTATACGTTTGAAATTGGGGTTTTTTGTATACGTTTGAAATTGGGGTTTTTTGTGAGTTCATCCCCTTTTTCGTTTCCAATCTTCTCTTTATATAGGCCTCAACTGTGATTTCTTTGGTGTAAGAATTGATTAAGGGTTTGAATGTTGATTGGATTCTCTGATTTGGGATGGGCCGGATCTGGGATCTTCCCCTTTTCATTTGATTGCAATAATATCGATTGATGAAACTTTCCATTTGCGACATCTTGATTTAAACGCGTTTAATGCCTTGATTTGCTTAGCTGTTGCATCGAATCTTCTTTGAGCGGATATTCTGATGATTTTTTGCTAACTCAAATTTGGTGTGGGCAGGTGTGGATTTAGCAAATGAGTTGGGCCAAAGGGGAACTCAGCAGCCCAGAACGAATACGGTGGTGGAATTGGTGAGCCCAAAGTTCATTGTTGGTAGCAGTTCTGAGTTTGAAAACTCCTCCACGTAAATTCAAAGGCTAATTATCTATGTTTCCTTGATGTCAAGACTGAGCAAAGTCTGAAGAAGATAAGGGACCAAGCTGCAAGGAGTGGTTGCGTTCTTGATGCACAAGCCTGGCTAATAGCGGCTTATACTACAGGTTTGGATGGTATGGCTTTGAGGCTGAGTTGTACGCTTCTTTACGTTGATACATCTATGCTTTTGTCTGTATAACATATTGATCTTTGGACAATTCTCTGTAGGTTGGGGACTTTCCTCTAGGGCTGTATGGTATTCAGAAGCAACCTGAGTTAAGTTGGGAATGTGCATCTTGAGATTGGAGAACTCCTCAGAGAATTCTCTTGCGGGGATTGCATATCAGCTTAGCTGGTGTTTGCAGTTTTCCTGCCATTCCATTGATTTCAACTTGAGAGGTGTTGGCTCTGGCGGTAACTTGGTATCTCTTTTTTTGCAGGGAAATCCACTTGCCATATTGACTTGTAGTCGATGAGGCGTAGTCGTGAAGAGGTTTTGCTTACGGAACGTCTTGCACATTGTTGTGGCCAGGAGGATAGCGATAAGCACGTTGTCTTGGAAGCATCTGTTGTTGAATCATTGACACCAGCTGCTGATGTTGTTGAACGGGACTGCCACCATGACGTCCACCAGGGTGCTGTTGGATTTGGTTCATGAGCGAGTGTAGAAACCACGTCTGGAAGAAATTATGCAGCAGTTTGGACTAGTGAACATCATTGGCTAGAGAGTTGCGCAGCAAGTCGTTGCTAGCTGATTCGCATGAGCAGTAAGACGTGGCTGATCTCAACATAACTGGCATGGTGTATTGCTGCATAGTCTACTGATGCAGGGGAAACCATGACTTGCTAGATCTTCACATGATCATTCCAGCGAGCCAGGTCGTGGGTAGTTAGTGATGCTTTGGTTTAGTAACGT